GTTAAATTGGATCTGTACTATGAATCACCAGCTGAAAACTGTAGTAATAAACATGCATAAAACAGTGGCAATTTACACATAGATTAACATTGCTGCTGTCAAGGTAGCAAGACTTTTAAACCCATTAAAATTACTTTGCTGTAATAAAAACAGGGTAACCCAAGGACATTTCCTTTCTCCAGTAGTTTGTTGTGAAATTCCAATCTGTGCCAAGGCAACTTGTAAATGACAAAGAGCTTTTGGGATAACTCAATGTAACTGTAGTTTCACTGTGCCAGTGTGATGTTCAAATGAGTGTAAAGCTGGGCTTTGGGTTTTTGTGGGTCTTTTCTTTCATTTTGGTTTTAGTTTTTTTGCATTCACCTCAGGTGTCTTTGAAACTCTGCAACCGAAGACTCAGTTTCACAAGGAGAAATTATGATGTTATTCTGCTTACAACCACGTCACCTCGTGAAGCATTCTAGCTGTGGACAACGCTGGATTTGGGACATTCTCTTTCTGAGAAAAACATCATCCCTCCACAAAACAATTCAAATTTCTGATCCATGTGTTATTTTATTAGCCTTCATAGCAACGACGGATCTGCAAGGAGACAGCAATGGGGATGAAACAGGCAGCTTCGTTATCTCTGAGCAGTGGTGCTGTTACTTAATCATGGTTAGATTTCAGTAAGAATTCAGAATTGAATGTTGGGCCTTGGGGTTTTCCTCTCCATCCATGAAATATCTGTGGAGGAAGGGGGAGATAATATAGATCACGGGTGCTGGACTTGAATTATTTTTTGGTGAAATACCTGGATTCTTGGTTTAAGGTCTTACTGAGATGGTTGCATTTGTCAGCTGACTTCATCTTGGGCAGAGCTCATGCCTTGCTTGAGTTTTCTTTACATAAGGGAGACAAGTGAAGAAAGTTCAGCAATTTTCAAACTGTGTGAAATGTTCTGCTTGGGACGGCATTGTGAACAGGAAATGGGAGAGCTGGGCATAATAAAAGGAAAACAGTGTTTCCAGAAAATGCATGCACACAAAAATTTATGCCTACTCCCCAGCCTTCAAACCCCAAGATACCTGTTATCCAGCAGGGTTGTACAGAAGAAATCTTTGAAGTTAGATAAGTTTGGCTTATTGAAGTGAACAAAACTGAACATTTTGCTCTTAGACCTTTTATTTTCTTGTGTCGTGGGACTTCTAGATGGGTTACCATCTCTATTTCTTCCCACTGGGGACTCTGCCTCCCAGCACACCGTAGGGATTGGGTGGTGTGTGATTTGTCCTCCAGGACAAATGTTAGTCTGAATTTTGATGATGCACAGAACCACAGTAAATATCTTGTATTCCCCAGGGCAGAAGGGGAGGCAGAACTTTGCTTTCTGTCTGTTTTTTTTTTTTTTTCCCAGTATTTACTTCTGCTCCCAGCTTATGCCTTTTAACATGCCCCTGCAACCATTTTGTACACGTGTATGAATGGATAGCCTGGGATGTTCCAAATGAAACATGAAACACCTACCTTCAGCTAAACAGATTTTTTGCTCTAGATCTTTGTAACGGAGTTTAGACATCTGGCTCATACTTAGACATCTTATTGTAATGGAGTTGTCTTCATCCATGAGCTGATTCCCATCAAGCTAACCAAAGAGAGCAAACATAGCTGTGAACAGTTTCAATGTCACTACACATGATCTGCACCTCCATGGAGGTGTCTGAAGATGGGAAAGAAATGGATTCCGTTGCACTCAATGGCTGAAGTTACCTTGGAAATCTCTGGGCAGCTCCCAACTCCAGCAACAATCCTGTCCTCTGTGGAAAGGTCTTCAAAGCAGGTCTACTCAAGGGATTTAATTTCTGAATGGCATTCAGCAGTAGAAGTTTTACTGTGAGGATGTGAACACAGAGATGGCAAAATGACCTTGTTGACCTAATGCACATTGAGGACTAACATTGAGTTTTCTCTCTCTACGTGATCACTTTGGCCTATGGACAGAGAAACAATTTAACTATGGCATGGATGGGCTAACTAATGTCCAAGCAAAGAGGGCATACAAATACCTGTATCAGAGTAGGTCTTTTTTTGCTGAGTAACTGTTCTGTGACAGTAGGAACTATGTTAAGAATATAGGTGAAGAAAAAGCCCACCATGATATTACTTGAAATATTCTCCTAGCAGATAACAGTCTCTGTCTCAGGGATTTTTTGGATCAAAGATTATATAAATGCTTCCAAATGCCCTTGATAGACTTCTTTACCATGAAAGCACCTCATTACTGTTCTAACCCCTATAATCTTTTGGCAGATGCAATATCTTGCAATAAGTTCTGCAATTTAAGTTTGTGCCATGTGAAGAATTACCTCACTTAGTTCATTTTGATAATTGGATTTGATGTCATTTAGCTCCTGTGTTATGAGAAATAGTGAACAATCATCCATATTCATCTTCTCCCTGACACTCTTGATTTTATCATCCTCTGTCATGTTATTCCTCAGTCATCTCTGTTTTGCAGGAAAATGCACTTTATTTTAATTGTTCTTCACATAGATATGCCATGTCTTTGGGCATGTTTATCAGCCTTTTTTTGAACCCTTTCTAAACTAGTCTAATCTGAAGAATAGACAATAATCAAATTAGAGATACATCACAGAGGTGAAAGGCTGTTTTTCAGGTTGTTCTTGAACTCTTTCCCAGAAGTCCTTACTATTTACTCTTCTCCTGCCATCAGATATCGGCTCAATGTTTTCATCTTACATCCCCTCTTGGTTTTCCCTTTTGCCTTTCCTTTTCCAGTGTTTTGGTTCACGATGTATCTCAACCTTCACAAAGCCTCAGCAGCATTTTCACCAAGCTCTTGCAAGAGCTCTGCTGTGTCTGTCAGATTTTGTTTAATGATGTACCTACTTTGGTTGATGATGATGGTAGGTCTGTGTGCATAATGACCTAGAGAATGGTGTAGGGGCAGAACCACCTGGGTTTGACCACTGACGTGTGCAGAAAGATAGGAAACTTGGGATAAAAGCTTGGGAGCTGGAGGAGAGTATGCTTAGCTTTTTGAGGAGCTTATGTGGTCCAGCTCACAGATGTCACAGCCTGATTGTCTTATCTGGCCTTGGAAAAGTCTGTACCCAAACTGACAGTTGTATTCCTACTTCCAAAGCAGGTTCCAGTCTCTCCTCAGCTTTTGCTTCATCTCATTGGAAACCAAACCCAGCAGTTCATCAAATGCTGTCTCAAATGCAGACAAGTGCTGGAAGGCTACATGAAGATATACATGATCTTTTAAGGGTTGCAGTGAAACAAAATGGCTGAGTCAAACTGGGAGAGATGTTGGACCACCACCACACTTTACTACACAACCCTAATCCCCTGACTGTGCCTTAGTTACACAAGTCATACAATGCTCTCCATGGATTAAACTTGGGATGAGGAGAGATGCTCAGCCCAGCGCTGTGGTTCTGGCTCTGAAGACTCACTCAGCCCTTGTGACTATGGCATTGGTCTTGCTCATCATGCCCTAAAGAAAGTCAACTAACAATTTCCTCATGGAATTCACGCAGGGCATCAGCCTAGTTTGTCAGTCATGCAGAAAGGAAGGAAGTCCCTTCAGAAAACTGAGAGTGGCATCAGCCAAGAGCATCCTTTGCTGCAGGCTTGCCAGAAGACACAGCATCTGCCTCCTTCAGTATCAGCCTGACTCAAACACACACAAGCACAACCAAAATACATAGGTCAGTCATGACAACCTCATCCTGGAGCTGTTGAGCTGCAGTCAGAGAGCTGTTTCTGTAGGACAGACAGCCTTGGGCTCTGTTCCATCATTTGCTTTGTAAAGAACTATTTCTGGGATACCTCTGTTGGATGTTTTCAGAGCTCTGTTTCTTCCTTCACCACATTTCAGTCTCTGTTATATGCTGCTGCCCTAGAGTTCTGTGGGGCAGTTATCTTCTTTTCTTAACCTGTTCTCCCCTTTGGGATTTCCAGCTTAGAGCCCTTCCCATGATACACAGCCATGAGGAAACTGCTGCCTGGTATCATCAGGATGCATTTTGGAAAGCAGACTATTTAAAGTGAAGCTGGAGCATGTGAAATGCTGTTTTATTTCACCATAGGTAGGTTTTTTGGTGGATTTTTTTTTTTTTTTTTTTTTTGTGAATGATGATGGAATTTGAACTTTAGAAGTAAAACTATTTCTTTTCTCCCTAGAGAAATCTTCAATAAGCTGAGATTTCAGTTTTCATTAAAAAGCTTACCCTGATGGAAGTTTGTTCACCAGATCTGAGCATAACCATAGAATCATTAAGATTGTAAAAGACCACTGAGATCATCAAGTCCCCACACCAACCCATCCCCACCATGGCCACTAAATCGTATCCCTCGGTGCCAAACCTACTCTTTCCTTGAACATCTCCAGGGATGATGACTCCACCACATTTCCTGAAAGCTCTTTTGAAGAAAAATGTTTCCTAATCCCTAATATGAACCTCCACTGGAGCAACTTAAAGCCATAACCTCTTGTTACCTGTGAGAAGAGGCCAACTTCTACTTCACTATAATCTCCTTTCAGGAGGTTGTAGAGAGAAATAATATCTCCCCTGAGCCTCTTCTTCTTCTGACTGAATAATCCCAGCCAGACCAAACAATGACATAAAAAACTCAAATCCCATAAACCATGCAAATCCCACACACTGTGCAATAGCTTTCCCTCCTCTTGCTCTCCTTCATTCCCACAAGTCATGGCTGCATCCACACCCCTTCTGCTACATGTAGTACCTGGGAGAAGGCATGGCTTGGTCCAACCCCTTTATCCCTATGTGGCATGAGGCAGACAACATTCTCTTCTGACTTATCATCACAAATTCTTGCCTGGGGGAATGATAATCCTTGTGGAATTAAAAAAAAAAGCCTTTGTAAAAAACACAGTGGCTGGTAGTATACAGATTTTACTTCCTCCCTCCCTCATCCCCTACAACCTCTGTTATAAAAATCAGACACAGCAGCAGTTCACAACCATGTTTTAGACAGGTTTGTGCATGTATTTGGTACAAATAAACAAAAATATGTGCATTTTGTTTCATAGAGCTTACATCAATCCAACATTACTTGAATCACAAAACAGAAATACTCCGGCTAATAAATATGTCTGGGAATGAAAAATAAAAATCTATACATAAAAAATTCCAATGTCTGCTAAAGAAAATGTACACTTATATACACACTGTAAACAATAGTAATGCAACCCAACTGCTGTCCAGCTCAGGCTGACAGGGATGTTCCTTCTTCCTCAGATGGGACTCATGAGAGTCTACAGCTCTTCACTACTCAACACTCGACTCACTGAAGCAGCAAGCTCTGATGATGCAAGAGTGGCACAAAGCCAGTGTGATGAGGTGATTGCTACTGGATAACCAAGGGATGAGTGCTTTGGGAATGGCTCGCTTGGAAAATTTGGAGAAATGGGGTCTTATTCTCAGCTGGTCACATTCCTTGTTGGTCCACAGAAATCAATGGGATCAGATAAAATTTACCTTCTGAAGTCTGAGCTCGTTTTTCTAAGCTTGGAGTTTAATGGAATCAGAGGGAAATGCTCAAGCTTAAATACTTAGGTCACATTTCATACAACATTGTCTTTCTTCCCCTGGAGCACAGGCAGACCCAGTCTCCCCTAAATGAGGATGTACAGAATCCAGTCCCAGTATGGATTCTTCTGATGCAATATCCTAAAAGAAAGGAGGTCCTTAGGTGAGAAATGAGTATTTTCTCTTAGTGTGGAGTTTGAGATTTTTTCCTACAGCACCTTGTAGAGTATCTTCTCGGGGCTGATTAAACACCCACAGCTGCAATGGGGGAAAGTAAATGGGCCAGAGTGTGGGCACTGTTGTATGTGTATGCACAGGTGGGCTTACACAGATTTAATCCTCCTTTTCTATCCTGTGAGTCTTTCAAAGATTGGGATTGAGAGACAGAAAAAAACTCAGAATATTCCTTCTTTCCCTTCTCTATATATTACATATGTAAAAGCAATAAAGAGAGCGTGTGTGTCAGTATGGTCATGGATGAGCACTTTACTCAGTGCTATGGGTGTCTGGCTGGATTCCCACCGAGGCTGTGCAGCAGCACTGAGGCAGATCTGCTCCTGAGCATCAGAAAGAATCCAATGGAAAGCGCCCATCTTTCCCTTGGCTAGACTTTCACAGGCAGGTAGTAATGCATTTGAGTTCAGTGTAAATGCAGTGCTGCCCATTTGTCTTGATGAGGTTAATGGCTGGGAGGAAAATATTTGGTCAAAATCTGCAGTAATTCATCCAGTTCAGAGTCCATTGCATTGAGTAAGGGGCAGAAAGGTACTATGGGTGCTGAGATAGGGTCTACTCTGCGTGCCATCTCTCAGCATGGGTTTAGATTTCCTTTAAAGCAGATGAACAGCAGGTAGGAAGTTGCATTCTCCATGCCATGCCTGGGAGTTCTTTGTCTCCTTTGACAGCCATCCTTACAATGATTAGGTGGATGTGCAGTAGGCATGCTCATGAATGATTCCTGAAAGGTGTGGAAGACAGTGCTGATGTGGACTAGTTTCCATACAGAATATACTCAGCATTGTCTCCACCCTTGATCTTTATGTTCCCATTTTTAATTCACCTTCAGATTCAGACTGCCTCCACCACCTATGTGTTTCGTGCCTCTGCCCATGGCTAAATCTTATAGTCATTATTTGTGGAAACTCTTAGGCTCACTGACAGTCTGAAACTTGATAAAAACAATGCCTACAATATATGGCCAAGAAAAGTTTTCTTAAATGTTCAGCTCAGGGTCTGTGAGCTTAGGGCTGGGCTATCCTGTCCCAACTGCATCCTCCCTGAGGTCCTGGGAGGAGGCCATGGTGCCTTCCTGAGGGAAGGGGACTGTGACACTGTGAGTAGGGCAAAATAAAACACCACACTCTTACAAACACAGCTCTTGTCCACACTAACCAAGGTTAAGTGCTGCTAAGGCTTTGATGTGTCAGGAACAAGGGAAGCTGCCTGGGAAAGGAGTCATGAATATAAAGTCATTGAATCATCTGGGTTGGAAAAGACATTCAAGTTCACCAAGTCCCACCATCAACCTGACTAGTTCCACCACTGAGCTACGTCCCTCAGTGCCACATCTATCCACCTCTGAAATACCTCCAGGGATGGGGACTCCCCCACTTCTCTGGAGAGCCCATTCCAGTGTTTGACCATCCTCTCCATGAAGAAATCCTTCCCGATATCGACTATATATCTTCCTGGTGCAATGTGGCTGCTTCCTCATGTTCCAGTATGATCCTGACTGGAGAGAAGATGCATCCATGTGAGGGAGCTCCCACTGCACGTCAGCTCCATTTAAGTAATGAGTAATAGAGCCAGAACTTAAATGGCTCTATGTCTGCCCACCACACTCCTGCTGAGTCACAGCTCTGGTTGAGTGCGAACATGAGCAAAGCACCTAGGATGCATCTTTACTCAGTGCTGTTTGACAGAAACAGCAAGTGAGAATAAGAAAGGGAAAGAAAAAGGCTGGGGATGGCCAACATCAAAAGGAGTTGCTTTCTCTGTGTCACAGCAGGATGCTTGCTGGAACAAAGTGAGCTGCACATTTTTTCACTGGAAACTGGAATTAGAAACGTGTCACAGGTAGGAATTAGAGAAAAAAGACCTGCACACCCATTGGATCAGTGTATACATCTGGACTGTTCCTCTGTCCTAAAACCAAATGATGTGGTGGTGGCAAAGCTCTGGGCACCACAGACATGATGGCTGAGGGACAAGATCCCCCAGCCCTGCTTGGGAATACTGCTGTTTGCTCACCCAGGCAAAGGCCTGGGCCAAAGATTCTATTGAGCCCCACAGTCCTGCAAGCTCCCAACATGTTGTCTAAAGGATCAGCTGCCAGCTCCTGCTCACAGCATCCATTCTGGATGCCACCTCTGGATGGAAACGTTATCATGTATACTAAGGCAGAGTTGGCACCTTCTGGGGTTCAGTCCTTCCAGTAGTGGTGTTTTTAAGGCAAAGAAGACATCTTGTGTTCCCTTAATTGGACAGCTTCCTCCAAAGTACAAGATAAACATCACATTGGAGGAAACAGACTTTTTCTGAAGGCCATATTCACCCCACATTTCCCCCTCTTGCCACAGCTCATTACAATGGGATATTCCACTGGCTCTTATTTGAGGAACACATAATCCCATAGAAGGAATTGATGTCTCCATGGAGGATACTTCTAAAACCTTTGGGCAACTGCATTTTATACCTGATTGCTGCTTCCAGTCTGCCTGACAGACCCATAGATGGTACCCCTTTGTTTTTCTGCAAGATACCACTAAAGAAACCATCGACACCTGTCCCAGCGGCTTCAAATATCCGTTTCTCTCAACCCACAGCAGTCTGTTAAATCATAGGTTTGATAGTCAATGGTTTCCATAAAGTCATGAGGGATCCCAATAGAGACAGACTCCACCTCTGTCTTGTAGGTGGCCGTCACCCCTCCTTTGCTGGACCCTCCCCGGATTTTGTTAGAAAGGCTGTTCATCTTCTCTTTCAGCTGGGCGGATGCTGGTTTCTGGAAAGGGGTGAGCATTTTCCAGCCCTTGAAGCTGAGTGTTCGCCTCTTGCTCGCTCTCTCCTGCAAGGAGGAGTTAAATATGAAGGAGCTATTCAGGGTGCTAATCCTGGGCCTCAGGTCCGTCTCGGAGTCCTGCACACAGCTGTTCACCGAGGCCCCTCGCCAGTGGTGGTCGTAGACACGCCAGATGGGCCGCCTTCTGCGGTGGCATTGGCACTTGAGCAGCCTGATGAATGCTCTCTTGAACTCTTTGCTGGAGCAGGGGTAGATGATGGGATTCACGCAGCTGTTGAAGTATCCCAGCCAGAAGATGACCTTGAAGACCATTTCTGAAGGTTTCAGAGATGGGAAGAAAGAACCTTGGAAGAGATGGAAGGAAATAAGGTTAGAAAAAGTGAAAGGACATGGCAGCACAGTGTAGCAAGGCTGGTGGACAGCCATTTCCTGGAAGGTGAGTCCAGAAAGAAAGCTGAAGTTGTGTTTCTGACATTAGGTCCTTGGCTTGCAGTATTATTGATATCAAAGGAAAATCTGAGCACTATAGTGCTGGAAGGTATAGAACGTAAAGATGGATAATACCATCTTCTTAGCAGGAACCTCCCAGCCTCCACTGTAACAGGGCTTGTAGTCGCTGTCCTGCTCTAAACTGATGCAGGAGAGCCAAATCCATGAGGCATCTTCCATATCTCAGGACTGAGTTGCTTTTTGAGACCTTATAGCAATGTCTGAGGGTATTATTTTGGGGATAAGATTCGATAGTCTGGGGAGGCAGACCTCAAAGGCCATACAGTTCCCAGTTCTAAACCCCACTGCAGGCAGGGATGCCCACCACTGATTCAGGCACAAGGTCAGGTTGCCCAAAGTCCCATCCAACCTGGTCTTGAACACCACCTCTGAGCTGGAAGTCCCTGCTGGTTTTCCTAAAACAGTTGAGGTTTTCTTTGCAGCCAGAGGATGTCAGTGTTGCTCCCACATGGCCCCATTCCTTAGCATTACCCACTCACATCCGAAATAACTTTCTGACTCAGCCTTAATTTCTTTTAATTTTAGCTCTGGATGACAAATCATGTCACCATGTGACTGAGCGTTAATTCGTATTTTAGTAAATAACATTAGCTCTGGATATCATTATTATTTTCCCCATGCTCAAAAGCCTGGTGTCAAAACAGTCAAACAGGTGCCAGATATTCAGGACTAAAGCTCTGAATTTCCATAGACTGCATTAAAAATCCCCACAATGGTGGTTTTCTACTTTTTGGATAGGAAAAAAAAACACACACACACACACACACACACACACAAAAAAAAAAAGAAAAAGAAAAAAAAAAAAAAAAAAAAAAAAAAAAAAGCCATCATCCAGGAAACTCAGAGCTCTGATTTAGGCAAAGCCTTCTTACATTCATCCACCCCTCCACAGTGCAGAGTTTGCAGACAGACTTAGTCTGTAGTGGGGGCTCAGTGGGGTATGTTGGCTCATACACAGCGGGGTATGTGGGCTACCCCATCACAGAGAGATCTCCTCATTTTCTGATGATTAGGGCAGGGAAAGCACACACACAGAAGTATAAATCAAATATCTGCCATAGGCCAACTCAAGCCATAGGGATGGAGCTCATGCTGGCTGTCAATATGTGCTGTGGGTGGCACGCAATAAAGATAGCAAACAGGCCTGATGTCTCTGTGCTGAAAAGACCTGGGGCTGTCATGGAGATGGATGGCATTTGCAGAGTAATGAGCAGCTTCTGGTGGTGCAGTCCATGGTCTCAAACAGAGCTCGGATAGAGGTCTGCCGAAGCCGCGCCCCTGCTGTGGTTGTGTTTGAGTCAAAGAGTTTATTCCTTCTGGGATAGTGCTGAATTTAGAGCTGTATTGGCTCATTGACTCACAACATCAAAATCTAACCACAGAAGCACCATCCGTGGAGTGTTTAGGCCCCAGCAGTGAAGGAGCAGTCTCCATTTGTACTGCATTTAGTGTCTTCTCCATTCTCCAGCCACCTGAGCTTTGAGCCTTCCCCTTTTCTTGCACCCCCAGGTCGCCCCAAGGATCCTGATGCAACATTCCATCCTGATGCAACACGGACCAGTGGTAGTTTCTAAGATCAACACCAATTCCTATCCTTAATTTCATGTCTTGGCTGGAATGGTGGGAACATTTTGGGTGGGGAAGCTCTTTACCAAGAGACTGGTGAAGTCCTGGAACAGGCTGCCCAGAGAGGCTGTGGATGCCCCATCCTGAAGGTGTTAAAGGCCAGGTTGGATGGGGCCCTGGGCAGCCTGGTCCGGTGTTAGATATGGAGGTTGGCAGCCCTACCCGCGGCAGGAGGGTTGGAGCTTGATGATCCTTGAGGTCCCTTCCAACCCAAGCCATTCTATGATCCTGTGATTTTCCATGTTCCACCCTGGTCCAATCTCCAGGACCATGGGTTCCCTGGCTTTCAGCTCTGCAGTAAGACCTTACGTTGTCCAATCTTGACTCTGCCATAGCTTGCTGTGAGCACTGGGGGCCGAGGCAGGCAAATAAATCCTTGAGGCATGAAATCTCACTCACATTCTTGTCAAGGGAGAGGTTCTGTGCCTCAGTTTACCCACTGGAGAAAAAGGACGATTGCCATCATCTCTTTCACAGTATTATTGTGAACCCTATTTGCACTGTGCACTTGGTTCTTAGAGGAACCATAGCTTTATGCAAAATACTTTTTTTTTTTAACTGAGAAAGGGGAAAATAAAACTTCATTGCACTGTGCAGTTTCTGTGCTATGTTCTTTGTTCTAACATCCTGATTGTGAATACAAACTGAATAGCACAAGCTACAAATTCCCTGTATTTCTACTTTGGCTGGTGTTCACCTCCTAGAACCTTGTGTACATCTGAAGACAAGGGACTCATTACCATCATCATTACCATGCAAATAAGCATGCCCCCTGGAAGAAACGTGTACTGTGTGCATCCATGGTTTCCTCTTTTGATCATACTGGGATGAACAGAACAGGGCAGGGAGTCCCCAGAATAGTTCTCTGGCTTGTAATCTTGTGCATGCTGGAGCATTTGGCTATCTTGGTAAGCACTGGGAAGTTACTTCTAAAAAAGAGATTTTGGGGCATTTAAGAAGAATTTAAGAAAATAATAAAGTATGGAGAGAATTAGCTTGTTCTTTGTGCACATGAACATTGAATTACATTTTGATAGATGGAAGATTTACAAATTGAGCTGTAGGATTATGGATCATAGAATCACAGAATCATTAAGATGGGAAATGAGTTCTAAGATCCCCAAGTTCAAACCCAACTCATCCCCACCATGCCCACTGATCATGTTCCTCAGTGCCACCTCTCCATGGTTCTTGACCCCCCCTACCTCTTCCCTGGGCAGAAATGGTGTTGGAAGAAAGCACTAAGTTAATGGGCACCTAAAATGCTCAGGAAAAAGTCCGATACCTCCAAGGTCTAGAAATAGAAAACTGGAATAAAATGTCAGGTATAGCAAGGAGAAATGATACATTAGCATATGAGCTTGAAAACTCAGTGCAGGATCATATTTGGATGATCTCAAAACATCAAAAACGTAACAGGGCAATATCAAAGGCAGTAGATGGAGTCCAAATGTTTTAGGACCTGTGTGACAGCACTGTATTTGAACTCCCAGTTGTATCTTGGTGGAGGATGTTCCCAGGCAGGGTGGGATGCAGAGCTTCATCCATTGGCTGGTCAAAAAAGTTCTGTGCTGCCTTGTGCAGATGCTACTGAGGTCTTCATTTTCTCCTATTATATATATATATATCCATATAATAATGCTCTTGGGGGGATCATTGAAAGTCTTTTTTGAGTTCTAGTTCATAAAGTACTTATGAGCATGAAGCTCATTATGGGCTTTTCTGGCCACAGTCAAAGTGTTTTCTTTCTTTTCTTCCAGGCTCACATGAAGTAAATTAATTAAATTTGGCCCAAAGCAATCATATTTTTGTCAGTTTCCACTTGTTACATAGCTTGTACCCTTCCTTGCTGGACTTCTATGAAGGACAGTACAACTGACATGTCTGCCAAGCCATGGAACAACGGACTGGATATCAGCAAAGACTTCTGCCTATGTGTGGGGCTGGGAATCTGAAGTTCTAGCTAGTCTTTTACAACCTTCTCCTCCATCTACTGTCAATAAGTTCCTCTGGCCATCTGCAGGCATATCAGGGTTCACAGCGGGTTAACATCTCCCTGCAACTGGTGGCATATCTTTGGGTGATGCCTTCCTAGGATGGATCCAAGAGCTGCTTGGCGAAGGGAGGAGGACAGTGCGTTCACAGTGACTCCAGCATTTTCCCCAGAGGACGATGGCATTAGGATATTGAGTGGAATTCCTCAGGCCTGTGAGCCTTCCAGCTGTGGCCCAGCCCCATAAACAAGCTGAAGATAAGCAACAGCTTCTGTCACGCCAATAAAAACCCTGGTAAGCTGCCTGTGTGCATCGCTGCATGTAGGCATGCCTGTTTCTCTGAACTTCTGCACACTGATCCTGCTGGGAAGAAGAGCATGGAGAAACCACCCCTTCCCTATTTATTACTGATATTCTTGGCAGCACTGTTTTGTCCCACACTGGTGGTTGGATAGGCTCTTTCTGGAGAGCTCCAGCAATGACAAAGCCCATGAGCCCATGGAATGCAAGGTCCCTGTGGCAGAGAGGACAATCTGCAATGTGGTGGGGCTCAGTGAAGCCTTGTGTTAGGGCTGAGGGCAGAAGTTGCAAAGATGGAAGATGCCATCCATGGGGGTTTCTGGGAGCTTTGGAGAACCTTGGCACTTTCAATAGCATATCAACTCTGAGAACTGAGCATGGTTTTCCCATAAGCAAGCAAATAATAATTTGACAGAACCTTATTCTCCTAATTTACTGATGTAATTCACTGCTCTCCTAACATGCTGTCGTTTGCCCAGAGATATGGTTGATGCCGTGTTTCTGGAGACTTTTAAGGCCAGGCTGGATCTGGCCATAAACAACTTGAGCTGTGGGTGTCCCTGTTCATTGCAGGGGAGCTGAAATAGATGACCTTTGAAGAATCTTTCCAGCTCTAAAGTCTCCATGATTCTATGATGTCTCCTTAGCTTTCCCCTAAGTTACACCGCATCAGTAGAAGTTTGGATGAAAGCTCCCAGAGCTCTCACTGGGGCTTTTCTCAAAGCAATCCTGTGAATGTGAACCACCAAGGCAATCCACTGCCATGTGAATCTTTCCAAGAAAATCTACCTGCTAACCAACTCACCCATCTAAGTTTAAGCATCTAAAAAGGTCCCAGGGCTCCTCTTCCACTCAGTGGCATAACTGACAGTGTCAGTGGAATGGATGTAGTAATCCATTTCATTGTGAAGCTT